TATTGTGTGGGCATAGAATTGTTAACCCCTCCCTCCTCCCAAGTGGCTATAACCTTCAGAGCTTATAACTCTAGATATTTGGGTTCTATTCCCGCAGTGAGGACTGCAAGGATAACCAATTTCTTAACTCTGCGCTTAAATACAAAAAAGAATTAACATCAATCTTGTTGGTTATGTGTTGATAGTGTGTTGGTAGTTTTTAACAGTAATGTTACTGGTTTTGATAGTTTTTAACAGTAATGTTACTGTTCTTGTGGTGATACTGTTTTGATAGTTTTTAACAGTAATGTTACTGTTCTTGTGGTGATACTGTTTTGATAGTTTTAAATGTGATGTTACTGGTTTTGTGTTGATATTGATAGGCAAGTGGAACACACTTGAGTAGGTACGAATTGGGATAACATACTTGTTTCTTGTGTTTGGTAAACTGTTTCGACAGTTCAATAGTAAGAACAGCTCCAAAAATCAGCTGCAAAAATCATTGTTCCTTTACTTTCTAATTATATTGGAATAAATTCTTGGTTTTCATATCTCTGTTTGATTTATTTTTTACTTTTCTATAAAACCTTTTATTTTCTTTGAGACAAGCTTAGTTTATAACAGGCAAGGGAAGTAGAGATTAAAATAAAACTCCAAATATCCTTCTTTACTCAGTCATTGTCAGCATTTTATTCCCTTTATAACATTCCTGTAGGGTTACGAAACATCAGCGACGAAATATAACTGCACATGCGCACTGCCTTAAGGTCTTTTGTTTTTGTTCGCATATTTTAGTTTCTTCAAAGAGAATATGTGAAAACGTACATATGAAACTTTTTTGTTGTTGTTTATCTCGGATTCTTCTGATCTTCCGACTTCTTAGAGTCTGAAGAAAACCGGTTTAATAGGGTAAAAGAAAATCATGTTGTGTTTAAAAACTTTTCTCTACATCAAAGCCAAACTTATTTCTTTTCTTTCTTCTTTAGTGTTTTAACTGTTCGATTCATGTTACGTATAATACTGTCATTACCAATATAATAGTACCTACATTAACAATATAATACTGTCATTACCAATATAATAGTACCTACGTTAACAATATAATACTGTCATTACCAATATAATAGTACCTACATTAACAATATAATA